TCCCAAATAGAAACATTACATCCACCAGGGAAAATCTGCTCCAGAGTTAGCAGTTCATATACGACAAGGTCCTACGGTGGCCTCCCTACCTAGAAAGAACGTACACCAATTTCCTAACTTAATATTTCTGTCGAACACGGAGAAAAAGGAAGAAGGAAAATAAGGAAGAAAGAAAAGATAGAAAAGACAAAGCTAAGGAAAAAATAGAAAAAAAGTTACACTACACTACCTTACACACGCAACACCGTCATGAATACCACCCGCCGCCCCCCTGTGTACACCGGTCTCCACTAAACGCCTGTCACACACACGGTGTCGTGCTGTGCGCGTACACCTAAAACGAACGATAACATAAATTTCTGTCGTCTTTGCCGCCTTCCTTCCCTCGTTCTTGCTCCCGCACATAATATGTGTGTCCCTTCCTCCCCGTCCCCCGCTCCCTGCTCGCGCACGCGAATTCGTCCCGCGAAAGCCTTACTCGAATGCGTCCCTCGAACTCCCTTCACTCGAACCGCTTCACTCGGAGACAATGATTCCCTTTTTACACGCGGCTACTTCGTCGAATCGGTCTTAGCCTCGGCACAATGCTTACTCGGCTACTTCGTCGAAGCGTTGGTACTGCGGTAGTTACGCGGCCGCGTTGGTCGACGCGTTTGCTCGGAGAGACAATCTCTCCCTCCTTTCTTACACGCGGCTACTTCCTCGAACCCCTTCACTCGAACCGCTTTAGTCGGAGAAAATCCTCCTCCTTCTTACACGCGGACACTTCGTCGAACCCCTTCACTCGAACCGCTTTAGTCGGAGACAATCCTCCTCCGTTCTTACACTCGGGCAAGCATTCGTCGAATCCGTGCTACACTCGGCCGCGTGTGCGCGGAGAGACAATCGCTCCTGCGTTCTTACACGCGGCTACTTCGTCGAATCCGTCTTGCACTCGGACCGATGCGTTGCTCGGAGAGACAATCGTCTCCTCCTTTCTTACACTCGGCTACTGCGCAGAACCCCTTCTTACACTCGGCTACTGCGCAGAACCCCTTCTTACACTCGACGACAAGCGCTTGTACGAGGTTGCGGCAACGACGGAAGAAAACTTGATGTTGTTGTTATACTGCGGTTTTAGTGTAGAAGAAGGGGGTATTTGTTGTTAACGGCGGTATTTGTGGTTAAACTGGTATTTGTTGTTACGGGGGGCACTTGTTTTGCAAGTGGTGTTTGTTGTTAAGGACAGTATTGTGGTTACGGAGTTGTATTAGGAGTACTGTTATTTCGGGATACAGTACAGAAGGCATATTATAGGTATGCAGGAAATGAGGTACCCAAGGTGGGATGCATAGTCCTGATGGGTAACGTTCAGTTCATGTAGAGTTTGAGTGGGACCCGGCGGGAGTCATATATTATATGCTGAACACAGAGAGCTCATGGCGGCGTATTTGGACATATTGTGGAATGATTATATTAAGCCCGGGGATATTGGGGTAAAGGGTTGTGACAAGTCATGTAGGGTAAGTTCATGTGTATCACCGAATAAAAGGAAATTGGACAGTATTATACAACTATTATAGACTACATTTGAGGATTGTGCGCAGGGCTAATGTGTATGTGCATTATCGGCTGCTATAATATTATCAGAAGAGTAAATATATATATAAATGGGAAGTGCAATAGTATAGATAATTATATACAGAGCATAAGTAGCAGCAGGAGTATAGTTCATACATGTGCATGCAATTAATGCTGTATTTACAGGAAAACTTCTGGCAAAATGTGCAGGAAGTATGGAAGAAATTTAGGGGGCATATGGAAAATGACGAAGATGATATTATCATAGCGACATTGTGTGGGGGGGACGACGATGAAGACGGAGAAGCCGGGAAACTGGATGCGAAGACTAAAGCTGCATGCGAGTTAACACTTAAAGCATTATCTTTTAAGCATAAAATTCCATTCAGTATGACCACTAAGACCTCGTGGGCCAGGGACAATAGTGAAGACAGCGCGGTACTTTATATGAGATGTATTCTAGTAAATATCTTTATGAAACGAATAATAGGCAAGAATTGTCTAGAGAAAGGTGGCGGGCAACTGGCATTTACGGCTGCGCAGGCTTTCGTGCGTCAGCACGGCGCAGCGGAGTATAATTTTACATGTGAACAGGAGGATGCCGCACAAGGGGGTGACAGACGGCAGCAACCGGGAGAAAGGGATTTATGGGATATAATGGATAGATGGTTCACCAGGAACACATTAGTGTTAAGGGATGGGGAGCAGGGGGTGTTAGGGCAGGATTGTAATGTGAGAAAAACACGAAAAGGACAGGTATATGGAGAGCACACAGTCACCGAGTTAAAGAACACGGTAAAGGAAGAAATAAGGGAGATGGAGCAGGAGTTGGAAGAGGCGGTGCAGAACATATTGACCAAAGTAAAAGAAGCTGGTGGAGAGGATAAAAGTATGGACGATATATTGAAAGAGGTCAAGAGCGGGGACTCGTCTTCGACAAGTTCACCACGTGACGTGCCGGATGCACGGCCACCACCTCCCCATCCACCACGGAGACCATCCACACCAAGACAAAGTCCAGGGCGCACAGCATCACCGTACCCAGGAAAAGTAGGTTCCGGAACAGGACCAGAAACAACACCAAGACCACGGCCAAGACCAAAGCCGACGAACTCAGCACCATCATCACCGTCACCGACACCGACACCTGGCAACGCAGCCGGCCACGACGGACAGGCTGCCAAACCAGTAGCCGCCAAACCAGTAGCGCCGAAACCGGTGGCGAAGAAGCCGCGCGAGCTACAGGACTGTCAGGGAGACAAATTATTGGAGTGGAGGCAAAAGGAAATATACGTGGCGCAACAATATAGTGTAAGTTAGCGTAAACGGTGCGAACAAGAGGATGGAGCAACAAGGGAAACAGGTGCAGGAGGAATTTATACATACGGCACATACGTATATGCAGGTGCAGGTGCAGGTGCATTAGAGAGGACGAGTGCGACTGAAGTACTAACACGCATATTTCTTTATGTTTATATGAAAAATATAGGAAGAACAATGGAAAAAGGTGAAGAAGGTGTTGGATGAGTTTAAGAACTATATGCAGCAAGGACAACAGCATATGGATGCATACGGTGCCAACTGTTATAATGTAGGATGGGATGATTTAAAGGAAGATGGGAATTATTTCATCGATCAACAAGTAGCAGACGTAGTACGGTGCAGACTTATGAGTGTTGCTCTATGGTTTGCAAACCAGAACGGCATAGATGGGAACGAGGATACAGAGGTCGAAAAACTAAGGTGTGAAGTAGCCAATACATTTGGGCATATGCTCAAAAAAATGTACTGCCCGCAGCAGGGAACCTGGGACAGAGGTATAGAGTATGCCGGAATAACATTTAAGCGGATGCAGAGCCCAGGAAAAGATGGACAAGGAGCACTGCAGGGCCCTGTAATGGACGGCAAGTGCAACATGTGTGGGTATGTAGGTCATAAGCAGAATGTCGAAGCCGTAAATTTGGACATAGCTCACTGGTTACGGGGGGAGGGGAAAATGCTGGATGGAATACAGCACATAGATGGGTCTGTGCCGTGTACTACGAAGTGGGCGGAGTATACAAAAGACAAGGCGAAGAAGCATAAGGTGAAACGGGTGGACGACACGAAAATTCCTAAAATAAAGCAAGACGTGGAGAAAATAAGGACAGAGGCCGTGAAAACTATTGAAAAGGTTATAAAAGTAGTACAAGAGAAAATTAAAGCAGTGGACGGTAAGGCAACGAATAGTACGATGCGAATACGGCCTGGTCCGACCGCACACGAATATGCATGCGCCCACCACAACAACACGCACACGCGGGGGAACAGCACCCCCACGTGAAGCTGACGTGTGTGCGGCGGCCACGAGGGCAGCTATAGCGATAACGGTAGCGTAACGTGGATTAGCGGCGAGCGCACCGTACAGCGGAGCGGTAGTGTAGATGAGGTCTGTGTGTGCGGCGACGGATGCAGCGCTAGCGGCAGCGGCGACAACCATGAGTGGACAGTGCACTGTACGAAGTTATGGAATACATAGAACGTGGATTTATGCATATGAGACACACGACAGCGTAATTTAGGAGACAGTGTAAGTTAGAAAAGGCGAGGGAGTAATGTAGAAAAAGGGGTAACAACGTACAAATCGGCAGGAAAGCTTGTGGCGGCCGTGTCGAGTTGCAGGTATCAAGTTCGTCTAGTTGGTAACTGACACGTGCGAAATTTTCCAATATACCAACTATAGACCATATTATACTATAGAAGGCAGGAGATAAATGAAGGATGCAATTCGCCCCTTCCAAGGCCATTAGCATATTCTACAGAGGCACAACCCCCCCCCGAGTGCTTGAGTCCAGTGAAAACCATTCCGCAAAATACTACTTTTGCCTGTACAGGGAAACGTTCCATGCAGAACACTAGCTAAGAACAATTTGGTGTTGATTGTGCTCATCCATATATATGCATCCTTGTCAGTGCACACATACATGTACTAAAGCATAAAGA